CCCGCGCGCTCCTGCTCCTGCCGCGCCCGTCGATGCCGTGGCCGACGCCACTCACTGACCGCCGATGTCATCGTCGTCGCTGACCAGGTCGACGTAGGCCGGCGGCGTCCAGAGATGGGCCGGCGGTGCGTGGTAGACGGGGGTTGGCTGGACGGCGGGAGGTGCCTACACCACCTCCTCCCGCGGCGACGCCTCCCGCTCCGGTGACCGCGGCGGCGTGGGGCGCCAGTTCACGCCCACGGCGTCGGCCATCTCTTCTGCCGTGCATGACCAGCCCCACCCCTGGCCAACCATGCCCGGGTGGAACGCGGCCACTGGCGGCTCCTCCACCTCCTCCTCCTCCTTCGCCACCATCTCGAGCTCGGGGATGGCGACCTCGCCGGCGGCAGAGCGGGCCAACATCTTCTCGAGGCCCTCCCACTGGCGCTCGTCGTGCGTGCGCATGGAGTCCTCCATGACGCGCGCAACGAGACGGGCCTCCTCCTCCTCCGTCATGTGATGTGGTGGTGGTGGCGATGGAGATGGTGAAGGCGACGGCTTGGGCGTGACGCCGCGCACCCGCCTACGCCCGCGCTCCTGGGGAGCAGGCGCTGTGCGCTCCTGTCGTGGCCGCCGCGTCCCCGTCGAGGTGCCGGCGAAGAACAACGCACGCCTGGTGTCGTGCTCGTCATGAAACCAGGTGTCCCAGAGGCCGGAGTTGGGGGCGTACCTGGGGTCGTAGAAGAGGTCGTCGGGGAGGAGGCGGCGGCGGCGCTCGATCTCCACGTCGCGCGCACGGCCGCTCATCGGGACCGGCGGGATGGGGACCCGGTCGGCGGAGAGATGCCAGTTGTTGGGGAGATGGACGTCGCTCCAGGGGAGCGGCGTGCTCGTCTCCCAATAACGGCGGCACACCTCCGCGCGGATGTAACGCCGGTCGCGCTCGCCGGCGCACGTGGGCGCGATGGAGAAGGCGGGCGGCGCGGGGGCCCGGCGTGGTGGCGATGGCGACGCGGGCTCCTCTATCTTCACTGAGCCGCGGCGGTGCCCCGACGAGGAACCTGCCTCGCCGTCGTGCTTGCCTTTCCGGCCGTAGTTCCAGAGGCCCATGGTTGAGGGCGGGCAGCCGACGACTTTCTTGGCTAGGGTTTGGGAGCAGGGGCTGCCGGGTTTCGAGGAGGCCGCGGGGTGGCGTGGGGCAGTGTGGACGACGATCCGTCCACGCTTCCCACTTAAAGAAGGACGACGACCGTTTGACGTGCGGATGACAGGTGGGGCCGTTCGCTCGTGCGCATTGATGTTGGCCGGTGGGAGGTAGGTGGCCGCCTGCCACGCGGCCCCGACGCGGACGAGGCGCGCGTCTGTTTGGTGTCCGCCGCGACCCAAACCCGGCACAAGTTTGCGCTAGAAATGGGTCGGCCCGGACACAAAACGGACAGGAAGGGTCCGGGCCGTCGCGCGCTGGGCCGCCTCATTTGTCCCTTTTGCCCCAAACGGACAGGGCCGGACAGGATGGGGTCGCGTGGTGGAGTTGGCCTCTGCCTCGCGTCGCCAGCTGAGAGACCCTGGACTTCCGAGGAGACTTTGTACATCATCCATGCACGCATGCATCCACTGGGTCGTGCCAGCGTGCTCTCCGGCTCTGAGTGCGGCCGGTGTCGCCTCCGTGCAAGCCTTGTACGTGCCGAGCTAGCTTTCTCCACCGCCACCACTGCCAGTACACATATCGCAGGCAGACGATGCAAAGCTTCCCCCGGTGGCTTTACCATGCTTCTGCGTCGGCGATGCGGATAGATAGATGCCCGGTTCGTGTTCCAGCGCCTCGTAATCTGAAATGCTGGGATCCGCAGGCACAGACCTTGTACGTCATCCATCCATGGTCCATGCATGCACGCCCGGGGCTTCTCTCGCGCGCCCTCCGGCGCCGAGCCCGGCCGGGCCGGTCCCGACATCGTGCAAGAAGCAGTAAAATTCCGGTGAGGGTTCGTGCTGCGAACTAGAAGCGGTAAACATTCCGGTGGGTGAGACTGAGAGGGGAGCAGTGGGGAATTAAAGGCGGAGCCACGGGCAAAGGTTGGGTCACATCGGCCGCGACTGGACTAGGGATGGATCCATCCATCCATCGGCCGTGTCGACGTCTGAGTCTCAGAGATGATGAGATTGGAAACCGGAAAGGCATCTCTGTCTGGCCGCCCGCCCGTCTCTTTCCAGCTGCTCCCCTCCGTCTCCGTCTCCATGGGCGAGGAGAGGAGAGGAGGTCATGTGCCTCAACAGTGGCACATGCTGCTGTTTCCTTTCCTTGCTCACTGCAGGCTTCACTATGCGTGCGGTGGTAGCGACACACTGGCCGCCTACTGTTTCGCCGCTGCGTCGCTGTTGATTGATCGAGTGGTAGCACTAGCGCGTTGCTCTGTCTCTGTGGCTCGTGTGTGTGCGCTGTGTGCTGCAAACAATGGATGGTGAAATTCTGCAGGCGGTTGAGAATGTCCTACAGACTCTTTAGTCACTAAAATGAAATCCTTTTGTTGTATAGAAAATATACAAACTAAAATGTGCTTTTGTAACGGTGTAATGGAAATTCACTTTGGCTCATAGGTGTATATGCACCCTTTGTCTAAATACACATTTTAAAAAGTAAAAAAAAATCAAGAAAAAAATCATGTGTGTAAATCCGGATATTATATATGTGTGCACACAGTTTTGGTGAAAAAGGACCTTTTTTGTGGCTTCTGTAAAAAAGACATTTTTCGATGCTTAATTATAGCTATTTACGAGGTATTTTTTTAATTTTTTTATACATGCCACAAAAATGGCCTTTTTCACCGAAACTTTGTGTGCTAACATAGGATGTCCGGATGCACATGCGGGATTTTTTCTTGATATTTTTTAACATTTGAAATGTGTTTTTTATACATATTTCATAATAGGTCTATCTATACCTAGGAGCCAAAACGCCACTCTCCTTTTGTAAAGCATTTAGTGCTTTTTTAAAGCAACCTCGACGCCAAAAGTAGCAAGAGTTTGCAAAAGTGAACTGGCTAGACTTGACAAACAACCAGAAGGAAAACCAAGCGGCAGTAAATTTATGTTGGGATTTTGTAATGGCGAACTCCTGAGAGCTTGCCAGTAACAAACCATGGACCCAGAAAACGCTACTATTACGTTTCCAAATCCAGGTCTCATTCCACCAAAACTACGCGTTGCAGGTACTTCATCGGCTGTGGTAATTTCAGATGGTTAAATGAAGGGTTAATTAGATAAATGCCACTCCAATTATGGCGATTCATAAAAATGCCATTGCAATTTTCAAACTTTGAAAAATGCCACTGCAAATTTTGCAATCTTTGAAGAACACCACTGCAGACTTCGAAAAATGCCACTGGAAGTGGCATGAAGTGGCATTTTTCAAAGTTTGGAAATTGCGGTGGCATTTCTCAGAATCGCCATAATTGGAGTGGCATTTATCAAATTAACCCTTAAATGAAATGCATATGCTTCTGTCAGAACGCATTTCTGAACATTGTTTTGCTTTGATCAAGGGAAGCCCGGACATGGATGCATTTGTTTGCACAGTACCCGCACTAGGCGCCTCACCCAGGGACTTGCAAGACCTAAGGATAAAAGAAATGCATGTGGGGTGGCTTCATGCGAGATGGTGTCCATCGTTGTAGCAGACAGATTTTCCAAACGGGAGCAGGCTTGGGGTCCCGTCTCCATGATCCACTCTGGTTAATCCCATCAGCTTTTTCTGCCAGCGTGTGAACTCGCGATTAAGGCTACTCGGTATCATCTGCCATTCTATGCGGAAAATGCGAATGGAGGCCGAGCATCAGGCAGGCCGGAATCCAGGCCGCCCGTCCGTGCTTGGGATCCGAGCTGGCCCTGTATTCACGCATGCTGCCCCACCGTAGAGCCTTTCCAGCGCGTGTATTCCGGGCTAGCGATAGGGACAGAATCTAGCTTGTAGTACATGTCCAACAGTTGTTCTATGGTGGTGATCACCCAATGCCCCATACCAGCATGTGCTGCCCAACTGACCAAGCTCACGTGATGTCGGTCTGTCACCCTGGCCACTGGAGGACATTGAGCATGCACGTGAGTACGTGACTACTCCAAAGACTGAATTTTGTTAGAGCACCGCTAGAGAGATAAAGTAATTATAGTCAGCATTAACATAATCGCACGCCCAATAACAATGAAGTAGGTAATTCGTTCCATCAGGACAAGTACCACGGTATGGTAACCAGAAAATACACATCCATTAATATATACCATTTCACATAATACATAATTAGGACCTAGTTAATTTAATCTCACAGGAAACATACCACTTCTGCAGATAAGTGAAAACAAGTAAACATCTAGTACATACAGGCATGCCCCTGGACAAATCCAAATGTTTACAAAATGCATCTAGGAATTCAGCATCAATCATGAAACATTACCAGTAAGCAACTGCCAAATTCCAAAAGCAGCAACGTACATACATGCATGGAGAACCTTGCCTTGCAAATTATCCATTGCATAAAGCTTATTTGTTCTACTCCTCGATCTCTTGCGCGTCCATGTAAGCCTTCTTCATATCTTCAATTATTGCATCATTCGTGCTGCCAACAAAGAAAAGCACATGGTGAATATCAAAATATTTAGATTAATGTGGTTTCTATCAAGCCAATGTCATCTACTCAACAATGAAACAAGCAGCTTGCGCACTAGAGAACAAAATGTAATACAAAAATAACTCAGGCTCTTTCAATCATGATTATCAAAAAGTAAAATAAATTGTGGTCAGCAATAATAGCATAAATACTCTTTTCAAGATTTCTGAAGTGTACTAATCACCAAACATGTTTCAACAAGATCATAATTATTAGTTTGGATTATAAGATGAAACCTACAACAGAGTTGGCTCCATAAAATTCCAACAAATGTGCAGACCAGAAAAGGATTGACCATTTCAAAATCATACATGAATCAGGTTCCTGCTGTCAAGAGAGTATCATATGAAACAGCAACAGTTGTCAATAGGACAGCTTCAATAGACAGAACTGTGCCGTATGAATTACTAAGAATAAAAGGAAGCTCTTGATAACAATGGAATTTTCAGCGACTAAATAGTATAGGAGCCATTGTTGTAGTAAATCACAAAGAACTACAGAGACATCGTTAAGAATTTGACAAAAATACATGGTCCATCCACTAGTAGCTTCAGCGCAAACTTGGAACACACCGGCTTCAGGGGGGAATCCACCACTTTGCCCACCGCTTCCAAGCTCAGCAGCGTTGCAAATTTCAGCTTCGATGATACTAAGAGAAGCCCCTGACTCCATCAGACTGGAAGATTTGGGGCCCTTCATTACATGTATGATCCACCTTGCCGCGCTTCGGCAAACTCATCCACGGGGGACAGCCGCTGATGGATTGGGAGGAAGAAGATGAATCAGTGGTAACATATATTTGTTTGCCCATTTATAATATGCTTTGACAGTTCAGTAAACATCATACGACATTTTCTTCGCAAAAAGAACATCATAGCATATTTATGATAGAAAAATAGAAAAGAATATAATTGTTTCAAAACCATAACACATAATGCATCCTACTTTTTCTCAATGTTGGCACTAAACGGCAGAATCAGTGTCATTTAACCAATTTGCATCAAAAAACATGATACGAAAAAAACAATTGCACAACAGGGCCTAATATTTCAGTAATTGTCAAGTATAGCATGGCTGATTTAATGGAGAAATATGAGATGCCCATCGATTTTTCCAGATTGAATACAGATCCCAAAATCACCTGCAGCAACTAAAAATCCGACACAAATAATAATGATGCCGGGTGTTGACAAATCCCATAACTGAAATACCAACCAAAACAAAAATCTCCAGCTCTCACCACAGGATTTCCATACCGAAAATCAATCTATACACAACAACAGTAGCTTTCTTCACACTGAAACTAGATGTGATGGTTCGTTCCGGCCAAGAAGTTTGTATCTCAAACAGGCGCATCTACCATTATCCGGGAAAACAAACGACTTAAAATGGTACATGAGAGATTTTTAGATCCGTAATTACCTAATGGTCCAGCCGCTGGTGGCTTCTGAGCAAACCTAAGCAGGCGTCCCCGCACAGATGTGTGCCCTCGCTGCCGCGGCCTAGCTGGGTATCGGCGATGCTCATGAAATCCCGCGACTCCACGGGGAATACATCAGGAATCGGCTCTGACGTCCCAAACATGGATCCTGCAGAAAAGTTGGTGGTGAGGCACTGAACTCAAATCCAAAGAATAGGACGCGGATCTAAACACGGCCATGACCGCCGGGCCATAAGAAGACGCACCCGTGGCACCTCAACACCAAAGGAGCACATCTCGCCGGAGAACAAACCCTGGCGCCGTCAAGGTTGGGGGAAAAGAGACCCAACGGTAGAGCCGGCGTGTGGAGACGAATTGCCCACGACCACCGGGTACGTGGGTAGGGCCAAGGGGCCAGGGAGATGCTCGCCGGAGAGAAACCAGTGCCGCCGTCGGATTTGAGAGAGAGAGAGAGAGACGGAGGGGCAGAGCAGGTGTGCGGCGACAGCTTGTTCACGAGTTAGGGATAAGGTCACGGACATGGGCCAGCCTTTCTGGTGCAGGACACGTCGTCTTTTCTAGGCGTGCGAACAGGTAAAAGAAATGGGTGGAACAGAATACGCCTGTGCGGCAGATAGGCGTATCACGGACCGTATTCTCTTCACTAGGCCTGCCACAGCACTGCCACGAATTGACGGGTTCCGAATCCCCAGGCCCAAGCAGACGCACAGGATACCGGCCTGCCTGTAGCGCGGCCACCAAAAGCCCGCACTCCATTCTATGGCCCTACTCACCAACACATCGCTGCAGTCTACAGGGAGGGCAAACTATTTCAGGATTGACCGTTCTAGATCCATCTGTTCCCAACACAGGTGCAGGTCAAAGACAAGCACATGCGATCTTCTTGCTCGGCTGGTAAAGCCCTTTCTGGCGCTTGACAAATACAGTATGAGCGAAATTTACAGCTATAGCATGTACTACATACATGGACAAAATGCAGCTACAGTATGTGAAGCTATGAGTTGAGAGGAGGAGATTCCGTACACATTGAAAGCTCGCAGTTGCCATGGCGGGCTTGATCCGTTGCACCGCCGCCATTCCAGGCCACTAGACAGCGGTCCAAAGACACGGCGCCGCGGCCGCCGCTGCACGAGTCACCTTTCTTAAGTCCAAACGGAGAGAATGTCCGGCAACACCAGGAACTGTCCGGTTCACCTTGTACAGGTCACGTCCCACCTTTGAAGCTTTGAGGCGACAACAATGGATCGTCTTGATCTCTCATCACATGGTGTAGCAATGGCGACATGGGTTCACGTGTGACAGACTTGTTTAAGCATGGTACCTGCAAAGCCAAAACAGTGACACTGATTGACATGTCCTGCATTTTCGTCACCAGAAAGCCCTCAACAAGTCACAGTTAAAGGAAATCACAGAGCAAACTATATGAAATTGCTACATACTGGTAGTACAAGATAAGTCAAAAAACAAATGGGATCTAGGCTTAGCATGTTACCAGGAAATAAGTCGCCACTTCAAAAGAACAGCCAATCATCCCAAAACATGAATACATGAGTGCAGAATGTAGTAGTACCACATCCCTTTTCAAACTTCAAAACAGATCAAAGATAACAAAGAAATTCCCACATGACTCGTCGTACTTCAGAACACGGCAAAGATAACATATCAAGACAATAAGAAGAGAACAGAAGTATTCTGGTCCGGAACAAAGGGTAATGCATCTGTTGGATTAATACAAAAGGGAATGCTGCACATTTATACTGTTTTTCAGGTTACCTATCAGAGTGCACTGTGGGACAAATTTCAAGTTTGTCAGATCATATGCTCATGCTGCAGAAGCTATCAACGTATCCAAAAACTGTAGGGCAACATCAAATAAACAATCTGCGCACAGTTTTATAGATATACTCACTATGTTCAAAGTTTCCTGCACAAACTGCCAATGTGTTTCAGCAAATAATTAGACGGTACAGAGCACTATGCTCACAGTTGCCTGCACAAACTGCGAATGTGCTTCAACAAATAATTAGATGGCTCAGGGAATCAAAACAACATGCTGGTGTAGCCACAGGCCCACATTAGTCTTAAATCTAGCTTTATTTATCACAACAGAAAGGTCAAAACAACAATAAAAAGGAACAGTGAAGTATGAACATCCATGTGCAGCACAACATTCTAACATTGGGTAATGATAGCAACCCCGCAGTTCACAGATTGTTTTCACAAGACTTGATGGATTCAGCTAGAATCAATAAAATGGTGAAATGCTGAAGAAGAGCAATCTGGTCTAATTGATCCCTGGAAATTACAGAATTTTAAACTATGCACGGAAGCTCAAAACAAAAATCAAGCCAGGGAAAGTACTATGCAGCTAATAGTCTTTAAGCATTGAAACACAGCTAAGGTTACAATCCAGAAGTGATGGTTAACACTTTCTAATAAACATGGCAATTTTAAATTGTCACACACAATGGCATAATTAATCAAGAGAAATGGGTGCTTCCACTCACCAAATGCTATTTTTTGTACAAGCTCTACGATACAGGCCAAAACTGTCTCGGATAATCATGGACTTATGACACGCGGCAGGCCACATTGTGTAAAATCCAGATGATAAGAAATGTTTGGATCATCATACAAAGAAAAGGAGAACAAGAATAGGAAATGGAGTGTGTTTTTCGCCTTCCATGTGTCAATAGACATAAACAGTGTAGAGCGAATACCATAAGGGTAAAATAAACACAGGGAGACAATTCTGTTATATCTATATCAACAATACAGCTACTCTGCTCTGCGAAAACAAAATCAGCTACTGTTCCAACACGACTGCTTACAATAGGAGCAACTCCAAATACCATATGAATATGTGACAATGACAGTTCGCATTTGCCAGGGCAATATGTAAGATATGCAAACATTTAAGAAAACTATCTTCACATAAATGACACCTGAATCTGAGCAAAGCTAATTATGAAATACGAGTACCTCACTACAATTTGCACCAGAAAACAACACTTTCAATAGCTTTCCTAATTCCTAATATGTCTGTGTCATTGATAGTGCACCAGTAGTAACCTTTCCAAACAACACTATGCAACATTCACACATATCTAATGTTCAACCTATACATCAGAATGCTAAGAATTCAGAAAGCAATACCATCACATATACATCAGAACTAGCGGCAGATAGAACACCACTACATATGGACAAGAAAGTTCCTTACAAGCCTACCTTGTATATATGTCTAGCGACAGCTGTAAAATGCAGTATTCATAGTATCCATGGTGTTCACTGACGATGTTTGATTTAGTGGTGACTTCAGTACAACTGGTGGCTTCTTATCTGGCACTAGTGTCATGGGTGCACTACCATCAAGCATCCTGACCACCCTTCGCATACCAGGCCGCTTCCTACAGTCCGGATGCACACAGCAGAGGCCCACAAGCAGCACCCGCCGCATCTCCTCTGCGACAAAACGTCCCTGAAGCTGCTGGTCTGCTGCATCAACCAGCCTCCGACGACCCCAGAGACTCCACACCCAGTCAACAACTGCGGTTCCCTTCTCCGTTGGTCTCCGGCCAGTGGCCACCTCCAAAGCAAGCACCCCGAAGCTGTAAACATCCGAGCGCTCTGATGCCACACCTGAATGCACATACTCTGGTGCGAGGTATCCCAGTGTGCCTGCTGGCTGTGTCGCCAAAGGCACCCCGCCATGGCTCACCACGCGAGCAAGACCAAAATCTCCTAACCGAGCATTGAAGTCTGCATCAAGCAGCACATTTGATGACTTGACATCACGATGAAGAATGCGGTGCTCACATTCATCATGCAGAAATGTAAGTGCTGATGCAACACCAAGCACCGCCCCAAACCGTGCCTCCCAAGGAAGTATTGCTCCACCCTTTGTGTGCAGTGCACTGTCAAGATTACCATTGGGCATGAACTCGTAAACAAGAACCAGGTCATGCTCACTGGAGCACCATCCCAAGAGTGGCACAAGATTGGGGTGGTGTGGGCAATCAAGCATGGCACGAAGCTCACTCAGAAACGCCTTTGAGCACGGCCACATAGCTTGGAACCGTTTGACAGCAAACCTTGACCCAGAAGGGAGAACCCCCTCAAACACAACCGCGCCAGAGCCACCAATGCCGATCACATTTTCACTGCCGAAGTCCTTTGTTGCTGCGCGTACCACCTCCATGGACAGCATCCCACGGAAGTTCTTGTCGTCGAACAGCACAGCAGGTTTTTCACTTGTGCGGCGCTTTGAATGGCGAATCAATAGAATAGAGCTGATGACCACAAGAACCAGCAAGACCACACCACCGAGAGCTCCGCCCAGCACCGTGTAGAATAGGTTATGGTGGTGGTGGTGATCTTTTGGAAGCGGCAGTGGGCTCTTGAGCGACGCCTGGTCCTTGGGCGGTGGCGAAGGAATTGGGGAAGCCGAGGCGTGCGAGGTGTTGGGGAAGCCGAAGGTGCGAAAGGTCCAGCTCTCGACGACGTGAAGCGCGGCCCCTTCGCCATTGGACGCCGAGAAGCCGGCGTACATGTACGTGAGGAGGAGACCGGAGAGGTCGACGTCGACGGAGAGCGCGGCCTTGTCGGGTTTGCGGGACGACGAGTAGGAGAGCCAAGCGCGGAGGCGGCGGCGCGGCGCGCGGTACTCGATCCAGGCGGTGATGGGCACGCCGGCCTTGAGGTCGACGCCCGGGCTCGCGGACGCGACGGAGAAGATGGAGCCCGCGTCGAGCGCGACGTGGTTGCCATCGGGGTCGCGCAGCGCCACGTCGCGGTGCGTGTCGAGCTCGACGGCGACGGTGTGCACGTCGGCGGGCTCACCGTCGTCGTCGGAGGCGGAGGCGGAGGGGAAGAGGCCGAGGAACCCGTTGGAGGCCCCGAGGAAGGTGCGCGAGGAGGTGAGGACGAACGCGATCCCGTCGCCGTAGGAGGGCGACGGGGTGATGCGGAAGGTGAAGCGGGTGGAGAAGGAGGCCTGCGCCGGGGCGGCGCCCGGGTCGGGGCGCGGGAGGAGGAAGCGCACGGGCTCCGAGAAGAGGGCGCGGCCGGCGCCGATGCCGTCGCTGGAGTTGGTGGTGAGCGCGACGGCTAACGCGCCCGGGAGGATCGAGGCGGAGCCCAGGAGCGTGAGGTTGCTCGCCCACGAGATGCGGCGGTAGGAGGAGGTGGCGGCGGTGGACGCGTGGCGGCTGTCGGCGGCGGCGGCCGCGGCGGGCGGGAGGTGGACGGCGAGGAGGAGGAGGGGGAGGAGGAAGAGGGTGGAGGGGTGGGGCGGCGGCATGGCGATGCGCGGCTAGGTTCTCCGTGGACGCATTGGCTGCGTCGGCGGTGGAATTTGGGGGAGGAAGAAGGGGATAGTCCCCTGGAAGGGAAGGGAGAAGCGGAGGGGAGGGAATGGGGTTTAGCGAGTAGAGCGGATGACGTGTGGGACCAAGGCACTAATGGGCCCAAACATTCTGTGGGCCTTAAACGCATTGTCCAGTAACGTGATGCCTACTGTTATGTTGTTATTTCAATATATGGACTGATACATCAAAGAAAAGCAAAAGTAGCGGTGGGAGTAACTTCGGCAATAACATTGAGTACAACTCAGCAAATTTGCTTATGTGACAATAAGTTAATGAGAAGAGAGGTAGCTAGTAACTTAGCTAGTTACTGTAACATCACATGTCTCAATGCAATATGAGTCTATAACCTAATAAATGAAGCTTTGCATGTTACCACACTTATGTTACTACCCACTATGAAGGTGGTAACATAGTATAGGAATATGTGTATGTTACTAATGTATGTTACTGATCATTGTGGCTAGTCTAATTAAATAGTACTTGGCCGCCGTCAAAAGAAAAATTTAGGTCCCCTTGCCTCCGGCTGCCATCTTGGCGCTGAGAGGTGGGGGATCTCGGATCTTCAAGACTTCAATATTCTTGCCATTCTATAGTGATCATCATAGTTTTGTAAGAATAAATTCCATCTCGTTCTTTTAGCAGTGCCATGAGATTAAAGAGCTTTCTGTCCTTGCAGATTCAATTATTCAGATCTGATGAATTTATATTGTTGTGTCAAATTTTTTTTTCTAGACTGATTCTTTGTGGAGGTGAAATCTTTCATCGATACCATGGTGGAGATATAGTGATTGAACGACATGCACTTCTACGGTCCAAGTATGTTAATCGATCAAGGCTTCCCATCTTTTGAGATGGGCGAATTAAGGCGCTTTCAAAAAATATTATTGGTAATGTTCGTGCGGGTGAAAGAGTGACAACATCGTTGCTCCAGTTCAATTGCAGTCTCTTTACTAAAGTCTTTGGAGTATTTCTTCGAGCAGAGTTTGACGCCGTGAAGAATGTATTTTAAGAGATTTCATTGCAATTCTTATTCATAGAAGTTACGTTGCATTTTCTTGGATCTTAGGTCCAAATTAGTGTGCATATAATTGTTATAAGTATGAATAAAATTCAAGAGTGCCTAGAGCTCATCTAGAAAAGATATAATTTGGTCTCATTCACCTTACGTCACCTGGCATCATCTTTTGTTACTGCAACCCATTTTCCGTTGGACGCGCCGCTCGCTAGCGCTCCAAAGCAGCCTTTTACTTTTAGTAAATTTGTGTCCCGGTCAAACAAATTAGGAAAGATTCTATCCACTATCATTCAATGTGTTTTGAAAAAGAAAGATTAGAAAGCACTCATGAGACATGTGTGAACGCATTTAATTTGGAGTACAACTTCTTTTAAAATGTCATGACTTTTGAACCGAATATCAAAATTAAGATCCGCTTTTACCATTGGATTCCTCGCAATGTCCTCTTCGAAACTAGATCACATATATGTTTCAAAATAACTTTTTTGTGTGCAATTTAGGCGCCGTTTGGTGCAACTGTCTAGTCGTCGTTGTGCAACTACTGACAATCAATGTGCAACTTTTTCCTGACTCGTGGACATGCCCTTTTCACTCATGCAAACATATTTGAAACCAGTTATCTGCTTTCGTGCAACTACAACAATTCCAGCAGCCAACTATGGGCACACTGTGTGCAAAAAAAGTAGATAGAAAATATATTAATAATAGTTGTGTGCAAACAAAACATAGGCAAATTTAAGCTGCTTTCATGCAACTAAGTCAGTTCCCGCAGCCAAAAAAATAGCCACACTGTGTGCAAAAATTATGTGCAACAAAAAAGATATGCAAAAACATGGTAAGTATGTCAACATCCCAAGCACCAAACGAGTAAACCCAGCCACTATTGTGGCAACTGCAGCACCAAATGAGCCAGCTACAGGTCCAAATGAACCAACTATATCAGCCGTTGTGCCAACTCCACCAGCAAGTGAGCCATCTGTACACACAACTGTGCAACCACAACAACCAGGTGGAGGGAAAGTGAGGATCCATTAAATTTCTTCCTCTTTAACTTCCCCTTCACCTCCCCTCCGGACCTTGTTTACCCATGACTTTGTCATCTTCAAAAAAAGCGTAGATTCCTATAGACCTCCTTCTTGGTTAGTTTGTTTTGATGATCAAACCTTGTGCCTTTTTGAGCTATTGGCAAAGGAGATTGAACAGGTTGCCCAATACCATTGAGAGTTGCCAACCAAATGTCTTGCAGTTGGCACAAGTAGACCTGCAGTTGGCTCAATAGCTGCTGGGGTGGCACAGTGGTTGTCGGTGTTGGCACAATTGGACCTGCAGTTGGCTCACTGGATGCTGGAGTTGGCACAATGTGGTTGTTAGAGTTGGCACATTTTGGACCTGCAGCTGGCTCACTGGATGCTAAAGTTGGTACAGTGGCTACTGGAGTTGCCACAATGGCACATGGAGTTGGCACTGGGCCTTTGTCTGTTGATACTTTGTTAGATGTTATGCTGAGATTTTGAGTTGGCACTGTATCAGGTTTGCTTGGCAGTTTGTACTCTGAAGTTGGCAAGATAATGTCTGAGATTGGCACAGCTAGATCTATGACTGCCTCACTGTACAATGTCTCCTGCCAACTATACGGTCTAGAGCGTGCAACTATTCTGCGGATGCAGCCAACTGACGTGTGAGCGTGTGCAACTGAAAAATGAAAATGAAAAAACAGAGATGTGCTTCACGTCGGTACCCATAGATGCGCTTCACGTCACCGGCTGCTGCCTCTCGACTCCACCGTTCGCCTCGGCTGCTACCGCACCAGGAAAAGGGAAATGGATGGGAGGAAGGGGGAGACTGCGCGGACTCCGTGGACGGGCGGATCCGGCGCGGAGCTCCTCAGATCCGGCATGGCGGAGCTCATCGAATCCGTCCGGGTTCACGCGCGGCTGCCGCTTCCCCTTGACCTCCCGACGCCGGCGGAGGAACAACGGCTCGATACGGAGGAAAAGGCGAGTTGGAGGACGGGAGGGAGGAGCGGGATACAGTGGCACAGAGGCGGGGCAGGCTCCATCCGCCGGCGCGAGGTGTGGCGGCGGCGGGCACGCGAGATGGATGGGAACGGAAGGTGGGGATGCGGGAGGATAACGACGGGTACAGATAGAGGAGGTTTATTCCTTATTTTGTCGCTAGCGCGTCCGCTCGCTTCGTCTAATGAGCGCGCGCGCACCTCAATTATGTATTTACATTTTTCGTTGATAGACCACATTCAAAACTGTTTGTTGTTCCTCTCGGCCAGTGCGCTTGTAGTCCTAACGGGCCAGAAGCAATGGAGGACTAGCTTTAATATCCCATGTATCAAACAAATTATTGTCCAAACGAGCAGGAATGCAAACCATGATTGACCACGCCCGTTTCATTTTTCTGTTTTTTAATCCTTTTTATGTCACAGTAATATCTTTCGTAGACATGTGAATATATGAATATTTTTCTAGATGAATGGAAAAATTTATATGTAAATACTTTTTAAAATGCATTGCTATCTTCAAAAAAAGTTATACGCAAGCGTGTAACTTATTTTAGAGTTTTTTTTCCTTTTTTTGATTTTCTCTATTCCTTTAAAAAGTTGAGAATTGCATGCATGTTGTGTTGGTTGCAGTTGCGCACGGGTGTGTCGCGTGCAACTCGTGCACGTGTGACCGGTATGAAAAAAAACTCACCTGACAACTCACCTGATGGACATGCAACTTACTTGACAACCCCTTCCCTACCCCACTTCTAGTCGCTTTGTACCTCATGCAATTGAATAGGGTTGCAATAACTGTAGTTGCATGTCTAATGTGGACATGCAACTAACCCGACAATCCCTCTTTTAACCCCAGTTGCTTTGTGCCAATACAGTTGCAATTTGGTACAATGCTTGCAGTTGCATGCCTTGTGGTGGACATGCAACTGGCCGAATAAACCATTGTCACCACAACTGCAGTGGTATTTTTACGTCATGCAATTGCGGTCGTGATACACCGCTTGTAGATGCATGTCTAGAGATGGACATGCAACTGGCCTGACAGTCCCCCTCCCAACCCCAGGTGTGGTTGCTTTGTACTCATCCAGTTACGTGTCTAGTACTGGGGATGCAACCGGTCCGGCAACTCCCCTCCCAACCCAGTTGTAGTTATGTCGTGGTATTCCTCGACATATGCCAACGGGTGGCTAATCATGTAGGGGGTCAATAGAACATTGTCGGGCTCTAGAAGCGGGAGTAGGCAAGACCTCAAACAACGCCGGGTCTTACCCAGGTTCGGGGCTCTCTGAGGGAGTTCCGGACTAGGGGGTGTCCGGATAGCCGAACTATCATCGTCGGCCGGACTCCAAGACTATGAAGATACAAGATTGAAGACTTCGTCCCGTGTCCGGATGGGACTTTCCTTGGCGTGGAAGGCAAGCTTGGCGATATGGATATGTAGATCTCCTACCATTGTAACCGACTCTGTGTAACCCTAGCCCTCTCCGGTGTCTATATAAACCGGATGGCTTTAGTCCGTAGGACGAACAACAATCATACCATAGGCTAGCTTCTAGGGTTTAGCCTCCTTGATCTCGTGGTAGATCCACTCTTGTAACACACATCATCAATATTAATCAAGCAGGACGTAGGGTTTTACCTCCATCAAGAGGGCCCGAACCTAGGTAAAACATCGTGTCCCTTGTCTCCTATTACCATCCGCCTAGACGCACAGTTCGGGACCCCCTACCCGAGATCCGCCGATTTTGACACCGACATTGGTGCTTTCATTGAGAGTTCCTCTGTTTCGTCACCGATAGGCTCGATGGCTTCTTCGATCATCATCAAAGATGCAGTCCAAGGTGAGACCTTCCTCCCCGGACAGATCTTCGTATTCGGCGGCTTCGCACTGCGGGCCAATTCGCTTG